TAGTATACTACACTATACACTACACACTAGTGCTTTACTAGTATACTACACTATTCACTACACTTCACACTAGTGCTATACTAGTATACTACACTATACACTACACACTAGTGCTGTACTAGTATACTACACTATGCACTACACTATACACTAGTGCTGTACTAGTATACTACACTATACACTACACTAGACACTAGTGCTGTATTAGTATACAACACTATACACTACACTAGACACTAGTGCTATATTAGTATACTACACTATACACTACACTAGACACTAGTGCTATACTAGTATACTACACTATACACTACACTATACACTAGTGCTGTACTAGTATACTACACTATGCACTACACTATACACTAGTGCTGTACTAGTATACTACACTATACACTACACTATACACTACACACTAGTGCTGTACTAGTATACTACACTACACACTACACTATACACTAGTGCTGTACTAGTACACTACACTATACACTACACTATACACTACACACTAGTGCTGTACTAGTATACTACACTATACACTACACACTAGTGCTGTACTAGTATACTACACTACTATACACTAAAATTCGATTTAAAGCTTTCGTAACTGCAGGGATTCATCTTCTTGGCTCTTTCGGTAAAGTCGCGTAGAAGGGAAATAAAATAATAAAACATAATAAAATAAAATTCTCACGACGTTTCGGCCACAACACAAGTAGCCTTCTTCAGGTGAAGAAACAGGACTGTCGAGAAGACAGCGCTTGAGTGAACACTGCCAAGCATGGACAGCGTCTTTTAAGCTGTGTGGGAAGAATTAACATGAATTAGCATGTTGATATGAGGGAAAAGCTTCGGAACGGAGGAGGGGGGCTGGGTATAAAAAAGAAGAAAACAGCCACGGTGCGCTGCTCTGTCCTGTGTTGCGTTATGACTATGCTATAAACTGGACTACTATACAATATTATACCTTCCAATATAAACTACAAGGTATAATATCATATCCATAGACAAGTTCCACCTTTGAATTATACAATGCGCTACTATACACTACCCTATACTTTAGACTACAAAATATTAGACTTGTAACATTACACTATGTATTATTCTATCAACCCTACTGTATACCACACTGCTCTATATTCACTATACAATTACGATACTGTATGTTGCCTTATGAATTATGTTAAACATTACAATGTTATACTATTTATTATTGTACAACATGCTATAAACCATACCATTGACCGTCGTGTGAAAGGTATTAAGAGGCAGCGCCAGCGAATGGACTGTGGTCTGAAGGTCACTGTAAAATACAATCAATTAAGAAGCTAAATGGTTTATAACATCTTTCCAATGGTTACTAAGCCAGAATCCATCTTCTCGGGTTGAAATTGTCTCTGTGTTTGTATATGTGGATGGCCTCATGAACGAATCTCTCATGGTAGCCGGTTGGCTTGCAAAGAACCTCCGTCTTGGAGAAGTCAATGTCATGTGAACCCACTGAATTATAACAGTGATCTGCCACGGCTGAGGAGTTCGTTCTACCGTGTTTCAAGTCTGCTTTATGTTCACGGATGCGGTCCGAGATATGTCGTTTGGTTTCTCCAATGTAGTTGCTACCACAGAGGCAACTTAGTTTGTAAACGCCCGAGTACTGTATGTCTGGAACCACATCTTTTACAGACAGAACCAGATCACGGATTTTATGTACTGTGTTGAATCGTACCTGGATCTTGTGTTTATTCAGGATTTTGGAGATATTTTTTGAGACCCCGCAATGTAGGGTAAGGTGATGGTTTTGAATGGCTCCTCAAGAGGATCCTTCTTCATGACTGGAGTGATGGCTTTGCGGATTGTGTAGTCGGAGTAACCATTAGCCTTGAGAGCTTGGTGTACGTGCTTGAGTTCACTGGCAATGTGTTCCTGGTCGGAAATGCATTGGGCTCTATGGTATAGACTCTTGATGAGGGAGTTCTTCTGGGATGGATGGTTGTGGGAATCCGGTTTTAAGTAAGCATCCGTATGGGTAGCTTTCCTGTAGACAGAGTGGCTCATTGAACCATCAGGTCTCCTTTTAATTAGGACATCCAAAAAGGGTAGCTTGCCATCTTTTTCGACTTCCATGGTAAATCTGATGGCTGGGTGTATGGAATTCATGTGGTCGAGGAATTGGTCTAGAGCAGGCCGGCCATGTGGCCAGATGACAAAAGTGTCATCCACGTACCTCTTCCATAAGGTCGGGCGTAGAGTGGCAGTCTGGATGGCGTCAGTTTCAAAATTTTCCATGAACACGTTGGCTACAACCGGAGATAGGGGGGAGCCCATTGGGGTGCCCTCAGTTTGTTTGTAGAAAGTTCCATTCCAGGTGAAGTATGTGTTGGTTAAGCAGTGTCTCACCAGGGGGGGTACATCAGTATGTAGTCCTTGATGAACCAAGTCTTCAATGATTGCGATGGTGTCAGGTACAGGAACTTTGGTGAATAAGGAAACCACATCAAAACTGACAAGCAGGTCGTCTGGGGACACTACACTATACACTACACTACACACCAGTGCTGTACTAGTGACGAATTGGCCACGTTCTGTTTACGTGACAACCCTTACTAGTTGGCTGTGTTGGGTGGTGGCGGGCTCTTAACGACACTTTTATATATTTACGCGATCTATCCCAAAAAAAACCCCTCTATTATGGAGTTTGCTGTTGCGAAAGGTGCAAAAGAGCAAAAATGCGTGCAGATGGTACGGCGGTAAGGGGTAAGGGGAGGTAAGGAGATGCGTGGTGGGGGGGACATGGAGGAGGAGATCGGAAAGTGACGAGAGGATGCTGGGTCGTTCAGGAATGAACTGCGACTAGGCAAAGAGGATGATGCGGAACCGCGATACCTGCGGCGACCGAGGGAAAGGGGCGGAGGGGGGTCATCGGCAAAGGAATGACGAGGGGAGACCAAATGACGAAATAATGGATTCCGGCGAAGAGGTAACGAGTAGGGAATTAAAAAGTTACGGGTGCCCCAAGGGGAGAGCGCTGAAGAAACCGCGACTGCGAGGTGGGCGGCGGGGCTGGGGGAGATGTAGCAGAGTTAAATAAAACAGCGGTGGCGCGTGAGGACAAGGTAGGACGGGAACCCCCCAGAGACGCCGACAATAGGAATGGTTGAACAGGGGATCGGGGATGCTCGCTAGCATCGAAAGCTGAAGAGACGCCAAGCAGAATGGCGATGGAGGAGAGAGAGCAGCGGCACGTGTGCGTGGCGGGAGTCAACGAGGCGGCGATGGTTTCTGTCGAGATGGACCACCGCCGGCGGCCGTCAGCGGCAGACGCCGCGGGCGCCGCCCCAGCGGATGGGACGGCAGCGCCGCCTCCGGGAACGCGAAAGGCGGCCGAAGCGGCGGTGGACGCGGCATCAACCAGCGGCGGAACTTTCTCCATTCGTAGACTTCTCTGTATTGACAGTGGATTTGTGGAGCCCCAAATCCTTAAGAGATGAGTTGTGTAGCCCCTTTCCTGGACTGATGAGCACCAACAGCTCTGTCTCTGAGGTCCTCAAGAGATTTATTTTGATCGCGGTCTCAGCTTGTTTCCACGCCCCTTGTACGGCGAAGACCAAACTCACAAATAGAGGCCGACCGAAACTGAATTTCTGGTTTCGTCTGTCTTATTCCCCCTCCCCACCACCACCACACCCCTCTCACCCCCATCCTTGCTTGAGTGTGCATGTGTGCGCTGCTTGCGATCGCCGGAGAGAGTGAGGAGCGTCTGCCATCAACCACTGCCTGCGCACGCGCGCGTGTAGTTTAGAGGCCGACCGAAACTGAATTTCTGGTTTGGGCCAAAAACGAAACCAGACCGAAAGTAAAAAAAAATACTTTCGGCTGAAAACTAAAGTTTAAAATTGACTTTCGGCTGAAAATGAAAGTTAAAAATTTACTTTCGGCCGAAACCGAAATGATGCCGAAAGAGGCTATCTGCCAACTTTCGGCGCCAAAACCGAATTTCGGTCGGCCTCTACTCACAGAGTTTCTAATCTTTAGCTAGGGCGGGGCCTCCCAAACTCAACCCATCAAGATCTACTTAATTACCGATTCCGACTTCCCATACTGTAGCCAATGAAACCAGGGGGTTTCACTTACTTTTTTCCAAATAACCTTAAAACCCTATATTACTCATTGTTTAATTCACCCATCATTTTGTTTCAAGAAGACGTGGAATTGGTGAATATCTAAACCCTATTGGATAGTTAATAAAAGACCGTTTTTGATTTAAGAAGGCTCTCATGGTGGTAATACTATGGAATTTCCAGAAATGTCATTGGGGTTCACAAACTTCTTAGTGGAAATGGTTACTTTAGTTCAACACAGTTGGTTGACACCATGTCCGACTTCTCTAAACCGTTGTTAGTTCAACACCAAGTCAGACTGGGCCAGTGTCAACTGCGTGAGTGTCGCTTCAACGCAGTCGGGAGTTGCTCTAAACCGTTGTTAGTTCAACACCAAGTCAGACTGGGTCAGCGTCAACTGTGTGAGTGTCGCTTCAACGCAGTCGGGAGTTGCTCTAAACCATTGTTAGTTCAACACAAAGTCAGACTGAACCAGAGTCAACTGTGTAAGTGTCGCTTTAACGCAGTCGGGAGTTGCTCTAAACCGTTGTTAGTTCAACACCAAGTCAGACTGGATCAGCGTCAACTGTGTGAGTGTCGCTTCAACGCAGTCGGGAGTTGCTCTAAACCGTTGTTAGTTCAACACCAAGTCAGACTGGGTCAGCGTCAACTGTGTAAGTGTCTCTTCAATGCAGTCGGGAGTTGCTCTAAACCGTTGTTAGTTCAACGCCAAGTCAGACTGGGTCAGTGTCAACTGTGTGAGTGTCGCTTCGAAGCAGTCGGGCCTTGCCTTTCGCACCAGTCGAAGGCGGCGAGGCTTCCAGAAGTTCTTTGGCAAGCCCCCCCCCCCGCCCCCCCCCCTCCCTCTCTGCGAATCACGGGGGTCCTGGTTCGACGCAAGACTCGGAATCAGAATATTTATTACTGGAGGAGGAAGGATGTCCGTCGGGGAGGCCACGGGATCGGGATCGGGATCGTAACGACGCAGGCGGCGACAACGACACGGGCAGGAAGGGGGCGAGCAAAATCGGCCGCTAAATTTTTTTAAAAAGTACACAATGTTTTTCTTGCCGTGGTTCTTCCCGCCTGTGCTTGCAATTGGAACGTCGTGATTCGTTCCATTTTATTTTATTTATGACCGCGTGACTTCGCCGAAAGAAACAAAGAGTAATGGATTCCTGCAGTCACGAAAGCTTCAAATCAAGATACACCAAACAAAACCAAACTTCCTCGGTCCCTGCCAGGCGAGTCCCACCGAGGCACCGGCCTCGCCCTTTCGCGAAGCGGCCTGGGCGTCGTGGCAAACGCGGCTCGTCTCCCCGCGGGAAACTCAAAGCCAGCGAAGCGCTCGAAAGGGGCCGTCCAGAAATGACGTCACGCGATTTTTGACCTCCATCGCCACGATCGCCATCATCACTGTCGCCATCGCCACGATCGCCATCGTCGCCCTCGCCACGATCGCCGTCATCACCGTCGCCATCGCCACGATTGCCATCGTCGCCATCGCCACGATCGCCGTCATCACCGTCGCCATCGTCGCCATCGCCACGATCGCCGTCATCACTGTCGCCATCGTCGCCATCGCCACGATCGCCGTCATCACCGTCGCCGCCATCGCCATTGCCGCCCGAGACGCCGTTCGGCGAGACGGGGGCGGCCGTTCCCCCAGCGCCGCCGCTCAGCGCAGCGTGAGGCGCAGCAGCTCTGCGACGAGGCGGACGTTGACGCTGTTCCCCAGCAGCTGCCAGCGCTTGCGCAGCGACAGCCCCTCGGGGAACGAGAACCCGTCGGGGAAGCCGTGGATGCGGGCGACCTCGCCGGGGCTGAAGTAGCGCAGCCCCAGCGCCGCGAGTCTCCTCGTCCGCTCCTCCCCCTCCTCCCCCTCCTCCTCCTCGTCCTCCCGGAACGCGGCGGCGACGTTGGCGCCGGCGTCGGCGAGGAGCACCGAGCCGGAGCCCTCCACGTAGCGGCCGTAGGCGCCCGTGAAGCAGTTGGAGCGGCGGCTGTCGGGCGTCACGATGTCCAGCAGGCGGCCGTAACGGCGCAGCACCCGCGGCGGCACCAGCAGCGAGTCGCGGGCGTAGCGCCGGGGGGCCGCCTCATCGTCGTCGTCGTCGGGGTCGAGGAACTCGCGGAGGCTCCTCACGTTGGCGTCGCGGTCCTGCGCCATCTTGCGGGCGGCCTCGGCCGGAGCGTCGCTCTTGTAGCTGCACGGCGGCGGTGGTGGCGCTGGGGGGGGGGGGGGGGGGGGGGAGGGGAGGCTGTGACGATGTTGGAGGTGGGGGGGGGGAGGGAGGAGGAGGGAGGAGGAGGGGGGAGGAGGGAGGGGGGATGGAGGAGGGAGGAGGGAGGAAGAAGAGGAGAGGTAGGAGAGGGAGGAGGAGTGGGGAAGGGGGGAGGAGGAGGGGGGAGGAGGAGGGAGGAGGAGGAGGGGGGAGGAGGGGCGAGGAGGAGGGGAGAGGAGGGGAGAGGAAGGAGAGGGAGGAGGAGGCTGCGGCGTTACCCCAATCCGCTGCCGTCCGGGCCTCCTTGCCGCCTCCCTGCCACGGCTCCGCCCCAAACCCCGCCGGCAGCAGCGCCAGCGGCGACGGCGCCCCCCCCCCCTCCGCGTCGGCCGGCAGCCGGTTCATGACGCCGCCGGCGGCGCGGAACTGGAACCCGGGCCCCCCGCCCCGCCGGGCGACGAGGAAGTAGCGCAGCCTCGAGTTGGGCACCCCGACCGCGGCGGGCCCCAGCAGGAACTCCTGCCGCTCGGCGTAGCCGCCGCGGGCGTCCAGCGCCTCGTGGAGCGCCCGCCGGGCCCCGGAGCCCTCGAACCCCGCGACGTTCTCCAGCAGGAGGTAGCGCGGCCCCAGGCGGCGCAGCAGCGCCACGAGGCGGGCGAGGCCCGCGCAGCGGCGGTCGTCCAGGCCGAGGCGGCGGCCGCGCCGGGCGAACGGCTGGCACGGGGGTCCAGCGACGAGGGCGTCCGGCCTCAGGGCCGCGAGGGCGGCGTCGGGGAGCGACTCGAGGGAGCGCGCGAGGAGCGTCGTCCGCGGGAAGTTGCGGCGGTACACGGCGTTGGCCACGTCGCTCACGTCGAGGGCGGCGACCACGGCGGCCGGGGCGCCGCTCAGGCGCACGGCGTAGTGGAGGCCGCCCACGCCGCTGAACAGCTCCATGACGCGCAGCGGGCGGGGGCCCGCGGAGTCGCCGTCGCTACCACCGCTGCTACCGTCATTGCCGCCACCACTCACACTACCAATACTACCGTCACTACCACCACCACTCACACCGTCACTACCACCACCACTCACACCACCACCACTCTCACGGTCACTCACGGCGCTACCGACACTACCACCACCACCACTCACACCGCTACCACCACCACCGCTACTACCGTCACTACCACCACCACTACCACCGCCACTACCACCACCGCTCACACCACCACCACTCTCACGGTCACTCACGGCGCTACCGGAACTACCACCGTCACCACCGCCGCCCCCTTCGCCGTCGTCACCGTTGCGCATGGCTCCGCCGTGCCGAGCTGCCGTCACTCTGCACCCGGGGCGGAGAGACAGCGCAGCCACTTTACTGGTGGTGCCACGGTGGCCGGGAAATGTTGACTACCTCGCCTGGTGTGCAGGAGGTCGTGGGTTCCATCATCACCACGGTGGCTAGATGTTGACTACCTCGCCTGGTATACAGGAGGTCGTGGGTTCCACCACCACCACTACCATCATCACGGTGGCTAGGAGATGTTGACTACCTCGCCTGGGGTGCAGGAGGTCGTGGGTTCCACCATCATCATCATCATGGTGGCTAAGAGATGTTGACTACCTCGCCTGGTGTGCAGGAGGTCGTGGGTTCCACCACCATCATCATCACGGTGGCTAGGAGATGTTGAATACCTCGCCTGGTGTACAGGAGGTCGTGGGTTCCACCACCACCACCATCACCCTCTGCGTATAAAAGGAATCCATTCATAATAAAGGAATCCATGGTTAATTTAACGACTTTAAACTTCTTCTTTGGCTCTTTCGGTAAAGTCACGTAGAATGAGAACAAAATAATAAAATAAAATAAGACAATAAAATTCTCACGACGTTTTGGCCACAACACAAGTAGCCCTCTTTAGGTGAAGTAACAAAACTGTCGGGACGACAGAGCTCCAATGAACGCCGCTAAGATTCGCAGCGTCCTTTAAGCTGGTTGAGAGAAGGCACCTTGACAAAGGGGTTTACATATCAAACAGGATAATTTAGCATTGAAATAGCTGAGGGATTAGCTTGTGACTGGTCACAGAAATAGCTATGTTAAAGTCAAAGCTTACATATCCACAGAGGCACCTAGTACAAATCAAACAGGAGAATTTAGCATTGAAATAGCTGAGGGATTAGCTTGTGACTGGTCATAGAAATAGCTATGTTAAAATCAAAGCCTACACATCCACAGAGGCAATCAGTACATATCAAACAGGAGAATTTAGTTTTTATTTAAGCTTTCATGACTGCAGTAATTCATATTCTTAGCTCTTTCAGTAAAGTCACGTTGAAGGGAAACAATAAAATAATAAAATATATAAAATAAAAATTCTCACGACGTTTCGACCATAACACAAACGGTCGTCATCAGGTGTGTCGGTTTGCATAAATTTATTTATTTTTTAACGGTGTATTTACTTATTTATAAAAAACGTCTGCGCCACGCGCAGCGATTTGGCAGTTTATTTAGGACTAGTCCATCTATGTTCTGAAAAGAGGAGGGGGAGACGAAAAATTAATGTATGCTGTCTGAAAGCCACTGTAAGCGTGAACAATCAATTAAGACCTGAAATGGTTTATCAAATCTTTCCAATGATTGCTAAGCCAGAATCCATCTTCTCGGTTGAAATTGTCTCTGTGCTTGTATATGTGGATAGCCTCATGAACGAATCTTTCATGGTAGCCAGATGGCTTACAAAGAACCTCTGTCTTGGAAAAGTCAAAGTCATGTGAGCCTACTGAATTATAACAATGATCTGCCATGGCCGAGGTGTTGGTCCTACCGTGTTTAAGGTCTGCTTTGTGTTCACGAATGCGGTCCGAGACATGGCGTTTGGTTTCTCCAATGTAACTACTACCACAGAGGCAACTTAGTTTGTAGACACCAGGGTACAGTATGTCCGGAATCACATCTTTTACAGACGGAACCAGATCACGGATTTTATGTAATGTGTTGAAACGGACCTGGATCTTGTGTTTATTCAAGATTTTGGAGATCTTTTTTGTGATCCCCGCAATGTAGGGTAAAGTGATGGTTTTGAAAGGCTCCTCAAGAAGGTCCTTCTTCATGGTTTGAGTGATAGCTTTGCGGATTGTATAGTCGGAGTAACCATTAGCCTTAAGAGCTTGGTGTACGTGCTTGAGTTCACTGCCTATGTGTTCCTGGTCGGATATGCATTGGGCTCTATGATACAGAGTCTTGATGAGAGAGTTCTTACCGGATTCTGGCTTAGCAATCATTGGAAAGATTTGATTAACCATTTCAGGTCTTAATTGATTGTTCACGCTTACAGTGGCTTTCAGACAGCATACATTAATTTTTCGTCTCCCCCCTCCTCTTTTCAGAACATAGATGGACTAGTCCTTCTAAATAAAGTGCCAAATCGCTGCGCGTGGCACTGACGTTTTTTTTATAAATAAATAAATACACTGTTTACAAAAAATGCAAACCGACACACCTGATGACGACCGTTTGTGTTATGGTCGAAACGTCGTGAGAATTTTTATTGTTTTATATATATTTTATTATATTATTGTTTCCCTTCAACGTGACTTTACCGAAAGAGCTAAGAATAGGATAATTTAGCATTGAAATAGCTGAGGGATTATCTTGTGACTGGTGACAGAAATAGCTGTGTTAAAGTCAAAGCCTACACATCCACAGAGGCATCTAGTACATTTCAAACAGGAAAAATTTAGCATTGACATAGCTGAGGGATTAGCTTGTGACTGGTCACAGAAATAGCTATGTTGACTTCTCCAAGACGGAGGTTCTTTGCAAGTCAACCGGCTACCATGAGAGATTCGTTCATGAGGCCATCCACATATACAAGCACAGAGACAATTTCAACCGAGAAGATGGATTCTGGCTTAGTAACCATTGGAAAGATGTTTTAAACCATTTCCGTTCTTAATTAATTGTATTTTACGGTGACCTTCAGACCGCAACTCTTTTGCTGGCATTGACTCTTAATACCTCTCACACCACGGTTAATGGTATGGTTTATAACATGTAGTAGAACAGCGCCTCACAGCTGTTTATCTACCCCCTCCTCCGTTCCGACCACGGATGGACTCGTCCGTCTGAACGGGGCTCGTAGCTGTCCGTGGTGCTGACGTTGAGGGTAAGAATCCACCCATTTTTTCACCATATAGCATTGTGATATATAACGACTTATTGTTGGTAGCTCAGCTGATTGGAGAATATATAGAGTTTATTGATAACATTGAGGTAGTTTATATTTAGTTTTTTTATTGGTTTACTATATGGTATTCATTATATAGTGTAGTGTATACCCAGTTGCTGTTAATAGCTCAGCTTATTGAAGAATATATTGAGTACATTTATTATATTGATGTAATTCAGACTTAGGTTTTTTCTCACATTGGTTTACTGTATGATAGTTGAGTTGTTACAGCCCCCTTTTGCGTCCATGTACTAGGTGCCTCTGTGGATGTGTAGGCTTTGACTTTAACATAGCTATTTCTGTGACAAGTCACAAGCTAATCCCTCAGTTATTTCAATGCAAAATTATCCTGTTTGATATGAACTAGGTGCCTCTGTGGATGTGTAGGCTTTGACTTTAACACAGCTATTTCTGTGACCAGTCACCAGCTAATGCCTCAGCTCTTTCAATGCTAAATTCTCCTGTTTGATATGTACTAGGTGCCTCTGTGGATGTGTAGGCTTTGACTTTAACATAGCCATTTCTGTGACCAGTCACAAGCTAATCCCTCAGCTATTTCAATGCTAAATTCTCCTGTTTGATATGTAAACCCCTTTGTCAAGGTGCCTCACTTCTCTCAACCAGCTTAAAAGACGCTGCGAATCTTAGCGGCGTTCATTGTAGCTCTGTCGTCCCGACAGTTTTGTTCCTTTCACCTGAAGAAGGGCACTTGTGTTGTGGCCGAAACGCCGTGAGAATTTTATCGTCTTATTTTATTTTATTATTTTATTCTCATTCTACGTGACTTTACCGAAAGAACCAAAGAAGAAGTTTAAAGTCGTTAAATTAACCATGGATTCCTTTATTATGAATGGATTACTTTTATACGCAGAGGGCGTCGCCAAAGCACGCATCTGCGCGTGCGCAGCAAACGCTGATCCGTTGTTGCCCCTAGCGATGCACACGCGATCGATGTTCCCCCCCTCCACCCACCCCAATGTGTGCACTTATTACTATAGGGTCGGTAAATACTACTACTATATCTTCTTTGGTTCTTTCGGTAAAGTCACGTAGAATGAGAATAAAATAATAAATTGATAAAATAGACACTCTCTATTATTGTGTTATTTTATTTTATCAATTTATTATTTTATTCTCATTCTACGTGACTTTACCGAAAGAACCAAAGAAGATGAATCATTGCAGTCACGAAAGCTTTAAATCGAAACTACTACTATAGTCCTTAGATACTATTACTGTAGAGCGGGCTGGGGGATGGTGGTGGTGGTGGTGGGGGGGGGGGTGTAGTAGCCCAGCCCCAGCCTGCAAAGGGACCACCTCGGCCGGCTGGGCAATCTAGGCGAGGCCGATGGCTCTCCACGGGACTAGGCCTCACCACGGCACTCGGTGACGTGAGCAGCGAGAACTCTGGAGTCGATATAGATGCTGTTACAGAGTTGGTAGATACGACCTGCCAGTCGGTAGATAGTCTTGATTTGATAGATACGCAGGCGACTGAAGCCAGGTTACCCCAGAGGGACCGGCATTGCTGCTCGTCCTGAAGAAGTCTTCGTCTGCGTCCTCTACGTCCTGCCGAGTCTCCGACACGCGAACCTGGACCCCCAGCTGTGGTCCGGTCCGTAGCAGCGAGTAACGTTGTTACTAGTCTCGCTAAGCCTGGTGGTCACCATCACGGGTTGTTATTCTGTTAAGGGGAAAGTCACCCCGTGTGTGTTGGGTGCTGAATGAATGCGTTGCCTCCACATTCTCCGTCTGCGACTCAGTTGAGTCCACTGCAGTGGTATCTAGACACTCTAGATACCACTATACACACTCTAGATACCACTATACACTCTAGATACCACTAGACACTCTAGATACCACTAGACACACTAGATACCACTAGACACTCTAGATACCACTAGACACTCTCTA